AACTTTCTGATCACTCATTTTCAATATGCAACACAATTATTATATTAATGATAAATGTGTAATAATTATAAAGTGCTCGCAACAGCACTTTCATAGGCTATTCAAATCTGTTGATAACTTATATGGGTTTTCGCAATAAGTTTAACACTTTTTTGGTGACAAAAACTTATTCGTTGAGAAACTATTAGCGAAAACACATGAGATTTGCCAAATGCTCGTCAATATTGGACTTCTTGTTGAATAGTAATGTGAAGTAAAGTCTAATGAAAACGAAATACTGATTTCAAGTGGTCTTCGTGTTGACGATCACTAAAAATGGTTGAGTCATAGAAAGTCTCTGCAAAGCGCTCGGAGTTATTGATTGGATCCTAATGTGCGACTCAACGGGTACTACAGTCACGACTCTTATGCACACAATTCACACTTTATATGTATAACTGTTTAAACCCTATACTTATTTCACTAAATATTGTAAATATTATGTACAATATTTGTATAGAAAACATTCACTCCAAAAAGCAGTCAAATCTATTAATGACAACCTTGCTAATGTGCATTTCTATAGGCATTCATTTGGATACTACGCAGTATACAATAATGTAGTAAACAAGTAGTATATAGTAGATATCCAGCACACTATCTAAACGCTCATTTGAGTAGTTTTTTTCATCGATCGTAATATCACTTGTTATTGTGAATTGTTTTTGTCACTCATGGATGACACCAAGGGATGGCTTTTCGAGAAGTTTACAAATTTAATAACTTTTGACTAAATCATAAATATCGAGAAAAACAAAAATAAAATAATTTAAATCAAAGGTCACGCAAACATACAATTTGAACGCATTTAGCTTATATACTTTTATATACTGATATATACTTTTTCTATTTGTCACATACGGTGGAGATTACCTGATATACTGCTCATAAAACATATAATAGGACGCAAAGGATATACGATAGGAGCTGTCAAAACAGGTTAACCTTCAGACACACCTCTTATTATCACAGTATATGTCATTCAAAATATATTGTATAACATTTAATACCATTAATACTTTTGCCATTAAAGTCATATTATAAGGGTCTGTAAAATGCAATAATATTTTTTGTTGTCAAACAATTCAGTCGTTTTTATTCATACATAAAATAATACATAAATTAATTGAAAGTTATATATCAATGAGAATTATAAGATGCACTTTTAGTGAGATTAAGTAAAATAGCCATAAATTAGCACAATCAATAAATAATTTAAATACTAAATCTAATACATAATTTATAAAATATGTAATAATTTATTTTGTTATAACAATTATAGTGATCAGCAATTAATAACATATACTTTGTAATGTTAATAAATAATC